ACAGGTACAGAGAACGGAATATGAAAAAAAAATAGAAAAGTAGTCCAACAGTACCAAAATTTTTCTGTACAAAGCAACATAAATTCTCCTTTTACAAGAACAAGGCAGCAAAAATGTGAAACATAGAGATAGAGAAACTTACTGTGGGACATTGTTGCCAGTGTCTACTTCCTCCGATTTTGAGTAACTCTTCACTGGGAACGAGTCCACAACTGACTCTGGAGCTGGAAGTGATAACACAGATAAGGACACTGACATCGGTTGCCGATGTATTTCATCCAGTACCTGCAATTTGCCATTAGTGTCAAATAGTTGATGACTTCCACTAATGAATGGAAAACCACTGCTAGAACATGATGAATCTGTCGAAGAAAGAGAAAACTTAAATGTAATATAATGTATCTCTAAACTATGCAAATTAAGGGTATTTAACAGGTCTACATACCAAGCATTGGGTATTACGTATAGCAACAGATTAAGCAGACCTATGTAGATATTTATCTAACATTACAACAGCTTCCTCTCTCCCAACCTCATTCCCCTTATCTCTGTTCAAATATGTTGCTCAGACTCTTCAAGAATGTTGTCGGGTTTGTGTCGGATCCTCCAAAAGTGGTGCATTTTGAAGGAACAACACTGGTGCAACAGCATATTTGAAGTCTGAGAAACATAGTTAGAAATACCTGATTGTTGGGCTTCTTACGATACTAGCATTTACCAAAAGATTTTATCATTCATTGTGGTCTTTCATAATTGTTATCTTGGCTTTGGTTTGCTATATATCTTGAGTTATTACTGCGTGTTGCCACTGCTTCTTTCATCTTTTCTTTAGCTGAAGGTCTATCGGAAAATAACATCTCTACCTCCCAGGGTAGGGTAAGGCTGCGTACATCACACCCTCCCCAGCCCCACTTGTGGGAATCCACTCGGTTTGTTGTTGTTATTATGACCTTTCATAAGATTTCACCATTCATGAGAACCTTTTTAAATACTCAATATTGGCTTAGTTCTTTAAGTTGGATTCACCTTCATTTACAAAGATTCACTACCAATGAGCCATTTCTACATGTACTTCTTTTGGTCCTTCCAACATAAAAATTCTCTCCCTCCCTATTTAAAAGACCCACTTTCCATTGTGAGACGTGCCAATTTAATTCAACCTACACATAGTATTGTTTTATACTTATATTATTAAATATAATTCTTATTTCTTCCAACAACTCAAATTCATTTAAACAATTAAATTTATACAAAGACGTGTCATTTTCGCATCACATAGCTTTTCGATCATTAGTCTTTTGTTCTCTTCTACCAATTCAATCAACGAGTCAAATTACCTTATTAAGCTTCATACCTAGAGCCCGTTTGGATTGGCTGAATTTAAGTAGCTTTTAATGAACCAAGTGCTTAAAAGCATTTTTTAAGCGTTGGAGTTGGTTTTACAAATAAGCAGTTACGTGTTCGAATAGAAGGGCAGAAGCTGAAAAAAAAGTTGAAGTGTTTGGTAAAAAGTGTTTATCAATATATTTTTGGTTAAAACAACTGAAATATCCTTAAAACTGTTAACTCTATAAATGAGTTGATTACCACAAAGACTTCTAATTCTAAATTAATTCAAATGTAAATTAATTTATATCTCAATCCATTTTCAATGTAAATGGATTAGATAAATTTTAAATTTGTTTTGCTTACATTTCTTTATCAAATCAGTTTTCTAGGATTAAACTTTATATTCCTTCCCTTTTAAATGAATAGAAGCCCGCGAAATGCAGTAGAAGCCACTGAAATGAAGAATTAGAGTACTAAATACTTGAGTTCCTTTGATGAAAATTGCATACTGCATCAAAATATATTCCATGCGACATTTAGCTCATATTAAAATAAAGATATATTCCAATTCTATGCTAGGGCACAAATCGATAGAAATTACAGCAGGTTTCTTCACACTAATTTTCTTGAGCATAATGTTATTGGGTGATAGTACGAAAGGAGCCCTGAAGCGCCGACAAATCCCATTAATAATTACTCAGTATACCTACCTCTACCTGCCTGGTTATGCTATAACCAAATTTAAAAATTATCCTAGAGAAGAAAGAAAGAATAAGCCACGTAAAAGAAGAAACAGAAAGATAGCATAGAAGGAAGACAGAGACGAGATGGACAAATGACACAGGAAAGACGACGGACGAGGAAGAAAGGTTAATTTTGGAATTATATAAAAGATAAGGGAAAGGAAAGTAAATTACTTGGCCAAACATGGACAGCTTTTAAGCCAAAAGGCAATAAATCAGGCACCCCCAACTTATGGCTTTAGCTTGTTTTGACTTAAAAGCCAAGTACTTATAAGCACTTTTTAACTTGCCAAACACAAAAACAAGCTAAAAAGGGCTTAAAAGCTAGTTTGACCAGCTTTTAAGCCCATCCAAACACCCTCCTAGTCAAATTGCATTACATGAAATGGAAGTGTATAACGTGGCGAACTGAAAAGAACAGTAGTACTAATTGTTTCCACCAGTCATAATACGTGATGACCCTAAACCGTAGTAGAAAGTATATTCCTACTAACTAGGTGACAATCTTAACCGAAACAACCTTTTCCTTAGAAAGTAAAATGAACTTTTATTGATAATGAGGGAAACAATGGACTGCTGAGCATTTAATAGGGAAAACTGCTCCACATATTAAACAATACTGGAGAGGCCATAAAGAGACTAAAAAGCTGCAATATGAAAAATTACCTCAAACAATGCCTCAGCAAGCATAACTATTCGTGATATACTTGCACGACTGCCAGTTTCTCGACTCATCAAAATTGTCTCACATGAACATGGGCCATCTGCGTGAATCCCAGTTGGACAAGTGGCACTTCGATGATCACTAGCAATAAGACCACCAGGAAGTCTTTCCCACATCTGCAAAGAGATAATAGCCATAACTTAGTGGAGCAGCAATCAGACTTTCCACTGCAGCAAAAAATAAAGTACATCACGTCACCTCAGATCTGGAATGCCGTCGCCGTTCATTACTCCCACTAGTCCGACTTCCATTTGATGGAAAATTACCTCCAGACCCCTCATGAAGGAAATTGTCGCTGAAGTCCAG